AAAAATACCAAGATACCAAAACGCATTCTAAAAATGCAATCTCAATTTTAAAAAAGAGTGTGTGTAAGACATAAAAAAATAGAGTAAAAGAAAATATCCCAAAATGTTAAATCAGTTTAATTTTGAGTAGTGGTTTTATGTGTGATTTTTTCCCCCTGAATTTTCCAAATTTTCTTCAACGAACTCTTATTGTTTTATAATTAGAAAAAAAAGGCAATAAAAATAGTCCCATTTTATGTTGAGATTACACAGACTGTAAAAGGAGCCTGCTGGGGTGAGCGGCTTTTTCCAGAGACCAGCCCTTGGTTCAATCAGCACCCTACCCTCGGCTGCCTTATTCACAGTGGAATTTCAATGCGGAGAGCACAGGGGGCCCCATTCTGCTCCAGCAAAGTCACAGTTAGAAATTAAACAAGTCTCCGGGGAAGAAAATAAATCCCCTATAACATCAGGGAATACGATGCCTTCAGTCCCTTAAGTAGGAGGCGTTAGAGGCAAACGTGCCTGGAAAACATGTGGCAGAGAGGCTGTGGCAGGTAAGGTCTTTAAAACAGGCCTGGGCCCCAGGGCAGAGTGAAGGGCTCAGGAGTGAGGAGGGGCTCCCAGCTGCAGAGCTTCCTCGTCCTCGAAGTAGCTGGGAACGCCGGCCTCTCTCGCCCTCTCTCCGGCTCCCTTTTAGTGGTCTGTGAAGTGGGGGTTTCAGACTTTTTCAAAGTGGGGGACTGGCTCAGCGTCCAGAGAGAAGTGAGGGCCTGGATTCCCGCCTGGCTGGCTCTGGGATCAGGATCCAGGTGAGCCTTCGGGCCAGGTCACCCTGCAAGGACCTGGGAGCAGCAGACACGGTGACCCTGTGTGCTGGTGTGTGATGCAGTGGCTCTGAACTTGGCCCGCTTATTAGTCCTCAGTTTTCCCTCTATAAAGTGGGGGTAAGAACACCTTCCTCACCAGCCTCCCGAACTGAGTGGAGGATGCAAAGCTGGAGTGGAGGGAAGAAGCTCGGACCCTCGAGTCCCACTCAGTGGCCTTGTCGTGCTTCCACCCCAGGGACTCTGTCATGAGAAGGAAGAGAGGATGGGAAGGTGCTTGTGTGACGTGCTCACCGGGAACGTGCCACCGCGTCCTCGACTTCTCGTGCTCTGCTCCCAGCTGAGGTTCCCACAGCCATGTCGCTGTGTCAGGGGGACACGGGCTGTTAGGATGAGCTCCCCTCCCAACCCCGACTGTCACTGCTGGTCCCGTGTGTTGCCTAAAAATGGAGCTGTGCGGAGCCGTGGCTTGCGTGTCTGCACAGAGAGCTCACAGTGCTAGGAGCGAGGTCCACACAGCGGTTCATTCTGTAGTGCAGTTGCTTTTTCTCGGCTTCACTGAGAACTCACCGTGTGCCGAGCCAAAATGAAATTATTCTGGCCCATCCTGTTTTGTCAGCCAGCAGCAGTCACCCTTCTATTCTACCCTTCCCAACCTCAAATGTCCTTGTCATCCACTAATGAGATGAACAATAAGCGAAGTGACCGAGGAGCCGGGAGGAGCGAAAGGCTTGGGGGGCTGGTGAGGAGGTAGGACCGGCTGCGTTCCAGGCACGTCTTGCCAGCTGCTGTTTCACTTGAGGGACCGAAGTCCAGTTTGATCTGGTAAGACCGGGAATGTGACTTTTAGCCATGTGTTCATTTAAATAACGCATCACTATAACAAGACACTTTGGAGAGTTACCATTAGTTTTTAAAGAGATTAGTTTTAATGGGATTTTTAGTTGCTTTCCAATCACATCATGATCAAAATGTGCCTCATCTGCAATTCACGAGTTATGCTCTGTTAGAGAAACTTTTCTTCATTTAGGCGAGGCAACCCTTGGTTGACCTCACAGATTGCAAGGACCTCGTCAGCTTACAATCCCTTATTTATTTATTTTTTTTACGCCTACAGCACCCGATCTTCCTAGGCGGTCTCCCATCCAAATACTAACCAGGCTCGACCCTGCTTAGCTTCCGAGATCAGATGGGATCGGGCTTGTTCAGCTTTGCATGGCTGTAGACTAGAGAATTTTTTAATGAACTGCCTCAGCCTGGGCTTGAGGCAGTGGCTTTCTCTCATGGGTAACCAGAGCGTCTTCTCAGGACCATAGCGATGGGCTTTATGTCTTGGGAGAACTCAGTAAGGATTTATCGAACGCCTGCGCTGAGTGTTAGGGACCCAGACGTGAACTAGATAAAGTCCTGTCTTCGAAGAGTTTGCCGTTTAGCGGGGGAGATATTTTAACTCCACAAGAAGGAATGTGATGGCTGTGGAGGTAATGAATGGTAACACTAGGGTGGGCGGAGGGCTGTTGGAAAAGGAAGGGGCGGCAGTGTGGGAAGCTGGGAAGGATGGGTTGGTGCAGGGAACAAGGCAAGCCAGAGACAGGAGCCCCATCCCAAGGCCAGAGACACAGGAAGAGGAGCTGGCGGTCAAGGTCGCTTCTGCATCTGAAATGTACAATCAGGCAAATGCACCGTACTGAGTAATGTCCTAAGCATCTCACGTATGTGTCTAGCGTTCTTTGTTTTGTTACGCTCGGCTTGTTTAAGAAACGGAGGCCCTTGAGAGCAGGGTGTGCAGGATGAGCACACCTGACTCTGCCCCTCTCCGTGTCCTCCCGAGGCTCATTCTCGGTGCTCGCACGCTGACCGGGCCCCACCCTCTCCCAGACGCCGCCTTCCTGCGCCTGCTCCTGGCTTCGCTCATTCGCAGTTTATCTACACGGCTACCTCACATGGAAAACTCGGTTCACTGCCTCCTCCCTGTCCCTTCCCCTTCACGGTCACCGAGGCCTGACCGGCCTTTTCCAAAATGTCCCTGAAACTCATTCTCCCCTTCAGCTGTCATCCTAGTTATTATTTCTCCCCAGGACAATTTCAACAGCCCCTGGCTGGCTTCCTTGCTCCATCCCGTGTCCCCTTGCATCCTGCCTCAGGCGACAGCCAGGGTCAACTTTCTAAGACACAGTTCAGGTCCTATCGCAGACCCCCGTGAAAAGCTTTCATAGCTCCCCAGTGCACGTAGCAGTGTTTTTCAAATGATGGCCCTCGACCTGCCTCCGTCAGAATCCCCTGGACTATGAAAATTCGGATTCAGGGCCCCACCCAGGCTTCCTGAAACAGCGGGGCTCTGGAAGTTTCATTGTTAATAAACAACTCCGGGCAATTTTTAAGCTCTAAAGTTGGGTAAGCAGAGCCTGAAGAATAAGCATGACATTTGACAAAGTATCATAACCAGGCTTTGCTCGCCTGCTTCTGTCCAGGCCCTCATTTCCTCGTAGTTATACCTCCAGCCCTCTGTACCCCAGTGCCTGGCAAGAAGTTGGCACCGAATAAATATTTGATGGGTGAATTTGGGGAACATGGCTGTCTCACCTATGAACTTCTAACAAAGCCCTGTCTCTACAGCAAGTTTTCGGGCAGCCATGTCATAGGTTTGTGAGTTCTGGTCTTTGTGTTGGCCTCCTGGGGGTATTGGGGTCTATATCTTCTGTCTAATTAGAAAATGAAAGAAGAATCTGCCCCAGCGAGAATGATTTCCAGTATCTCATCAGAACAGCCAAGGGACGTGTTGCTGGGGACAGGGGTCAGGACAGCTGAGGTAGGGACATCCCCGGGCTTCTGGATCACACCACTGGGGACATAACTATCTTTTTTTCCAGTTCGCCTGCTAATCCGGGTACAGTAGTACTGAGATCAAAACTCAGGGCCGGTGCTGGGGTTCTGTTGACCCCCGCCCCGGAAGTGTCTCAGGCCATCAGAGATATTCAAGCTCCACGAACTATCATATCTATGTCCTGTTCAGAGCAAAAGGCAAGTGTCTGCTAATTTAAAATATTGTTTCAATCAACGTCCTCAAGCTTAGTTATTTACGCTTGTAGGGGGCTCTGGTCTGCAAGGACAAAGTTCAGAAAGCGAAGAACGATATTTCGGCAGCCCCCAAAAGATGCTTAAAAAAAAAGCCGAGGACGAGTTGGAGTTAGAGTAAGGGAGATGATGGCCACTGGCCGCCTCCCTTTTCCTTCCCCTTGTGCTGGAATTAACTTACATAAATATATATGTTATATAAGAGGAAGAGGGTGGGCAGTGTGCAAATATTTATTTTGCAATTCGGAAAGTGTGAGGGGAAGTTTCTGAGAATCTTTGCGTTGCAGTCTAAAATATTTAGCGTTTTTATTGGCTTTATGGCAGTGCTTAGCTTAGTGTCTGTCAGCGGCGTCTTTCTGCGTGGCTCGTCCCACGGTGTGTGGGCCTGTGCACGCATCTCGCTCGGGCTCGCCGTCTGCCATCTGCGCAGCTCGCCCAGGCGCCCAGCTTTGTCGCAGATCCTGAGACCACATGAAATAGATGCCTTCTACTTTTCACAGCCTCGAAAACATTG